ATCTACGGTCGCCAAAAACCGTTTGCGGCGGATATTTTCTAAACGCTGGTTTTGAGTGCCAGAAAATTCAATCTCTTTGTGCCGGTTTGAAACCGCCACAAAATGCATTTTTGTTTGACTTGTTTGTCATTTTCTGGCGGTTTCAAACCGCCACAAAATTCATCTAAATATTTCTTGATTTTACATTTCTGGCAGTTTTAAACCGCCACAAAATTTCTCTTTTTTTTTTTCTTAATTTTCTCACATATTCCATCAAACCACATAATATAATTTTTTTATTTACTTATAGTTAAATATTATTGTTTAAAAATAAAAAACATTTTTTAAAACAACTTTTTTACTGTCATAACTATTGAGAAAGAAAAAAAAATGTGTTATAAGATTTGACATATGTTAAATAGAAAAATGGGTATTAATAATTAAATCAATCATAATATGATATATTAACAAACATTATCATTAAAAAAAAGATTTAATCTCAAAGACTAATTTATATAACAAAATATTAATAAAAAAATTAAAATCAAGTTAAAAGGAAATAATAATTGAATTCTTAAAATGTTGAATAACTAGAAACTTATTTAACCTTTTTAATGTAAGTTAAGAAATTATATGACAATTCTGTATTGGAAGTTTGTTACAACCATAATACCCAAATTTTAATGTACCAAACAGAGAACAAGGTATAATTTTAAATTACATTTAAAATTACATTTTTAAATGATGCTGCCCATCATTTGCTTCCTAAGCCATCAATAACTCCCAGAGCCTTGGAAAATAGCTTTATCCAATTTAGAAAAATCAAGCCAAACCCATGGTAGTTAGATTGAATTGATTGTTAATATGTAAGTAGTACTAATGAAATTTTAATTTTAATTAAAGAATACAAAAGGAGTTATAATAATATACTTTAATCTAGTTATATTTTATAACTGAAACAAATTGATCGAGAGTTATTGAATTAAAAGTAGAGAAAAAGAGAGTGATTTCATTCAAAAGAGTTGGTACTTGGTATATATACCATTGGAAGCAGGCTCTTGAACTTTTTGTTCAGTTTTTCTTTTACACTCATATTTCAACACAAGTTTTACACAGTTCCTCTGTATTTCAAGTAATTCAAAAAAAATATTATTTCTTTAGTAGCAGGCTGGGAGCAATTTGAAATGTCTATACTAATCACACAAGGTTGGAAGCAAGCCAAGTGAATAAGCATGTATTTATACAAACAACTTGTAACATCTTCCTAGAAAATTATGCACAAGCACGAAACATTCGGATTACATAAAGACTTACCAGTCTGGTAGCAGCAATTGTGGTGCGTTGCCATTCCTTTTTCTTGCGATTGCACTCGCCACACCAGCCGGAGAAATTAATCTTTTTGGTACCGTTTCATCTCTCTAAAGACAGAACTACAATGACATAATACAAACACTTAATTTACTGGGGGAAAAATTAACAGATAATAGTGACATGGGTATGATTTCTGAAACTAGTGAGTATCCTAGAGCAATTTAGTATGAAGCAAACGCACAAAATCATTAGACAAACTGAAGTAGCAATGAAAGCAAGCAACAAATGAAATCACCTTCTGCACCACAGAAGCAGGTTGACCCGATGAAGCACAGCTCGTCCAGGGACATGACAATAATCAAAGATCTTCTGCTTTCAAATAATGGACTCCATCAAAAAAGTGTACAACCACCTATGAGAAATGGCAAGAACCAGTGGTCCATAATTTTGGGACCGAATCCAAACCCATAATAAACAATCATTTGGATTTGCTTTCACTATTAGAAACAAATACATACATCTAAAGCTGCACTGAAAAATAGAAATATATATAGATACACCAATTCTGAGTCTTACTTGTATAACACGCATGACGAGCATTACTGAAAAATAGAAATATATACAAATTCCAATAATTTAATTCCCAAGTAAATTCTCAACAGGTGACTTTGAGAACCACCTATTTCCAAACTGCAAGCGAGCTCTTCCATCAAATAACGATATTGGAACATTCATTCCTAGTCAAACGGGGTCTAGAAAATCATAATTATACAAATAAACGCTGAAAACAATTTAATATGACTTCATCACCAACATCTTGCGAGAGATTATACAATAGGGTGATTGCAAGAGTTACGGAAAAGCCAAAATCCAATGTAACAGACCTGGGGTGTAGACAAAATCTCGGCATCTTCTTTATTGAGCCTTGAATGCAAAAGTACAAAATAGACTTTCCAGAAGTAACTTTCGCTCATATGACAAGGACATAGTTCGATTCTGAGGGCAACTAATCTAGGAGTCAATCTTTCAACAACCGCAGCATGCTCTTGTTGTGCATCAGACATGTCAAAATCTAAAAGTAGAATTCATCACGTTAAAATCTCAAAGGCATGTAAGGATGAGCAAAACAAAATCACGCAACCCGTGACCATACCATTACTGATTACTCACAATGTAATATAAAATCAATTTTCATCCAAGTTTGTAAGGCATGTAATGTAATATGCAATATAATTAACATTCAAGAGTGATCTGGTCTATAAGACTATAACTAAAACCAAATTGGGAATGTGCGTTAATGATTCTGTGATCTGATCCAATTAATAAAGGAGGTTACCGTCGGTGTCGTCTTCCTCCTCAATAGGAAAATCCAACCACGTCTCGGGATGCATAGCGATGTTCATGGCAAATGCCAACACCTCTTCTGTAATTCCAACCGCGCGTAGCTCGAAACCGCAATTCCCTTTCGAATCGGATCTGAAGGAAACCGAATTCGATTCAGGATCGTTCCCCTGTTCGGCGTCTGAAGAGTGATCGGAAATCGCAGCAGCGTCATCCAATTGTGGTTGAGAAATAGAGCGATGATTGGATTGGTCGGAGACGAAAAGAGAGGGATCGGATTGAGAATTTGAAGGTGGCGGAGCGAGGAAGGAGGCCATTCCCCAAAATTGACGAGTTAGGGTTTGCTTGATTTCGTCGAGGTCCTCTTTGACTCTGCTGCCGGAAACATCGTCGATTCTTCCAAGTCTCCAGAAAACTCATTCAACAAACTGAAGCAATAAAATTAATTAAAAACATATCTGGCATTCATTTTCAGTGGATCGTTTCTTTCAAAATTTGATCGTGTATACATGGAATAAGAATCTGGAATAAAAACCTGAATGATTTGAGATTGCCGTTGGTTGAATGACTCGAGTCTAACCTTTCCAAACCCTTGGTCTGCATTAATTCGGCGAATATCAATCAATAAATAGATTCAAAGAAATTAAATAGGTTAATTAAAGAGAGTAATTGAAAAGCGTTTGGAATCCAAGAATTTAAAGAATTCAGAATTTGGAGGAGCGAACCTATAGATCTAACGGCGCGAAGAGAAAGATAGGGAGGGTTACCGATTGAGATTGATGTAATTCTGGCGCGGAGGTGGATGCGTGCGACGCTTTGTTCTTCCTACCTAGGAGGAGTTTGGGGTTTTACGAAAATCGAAAGCAAGAAGTTGAAATTGAAACGTACCAGGCTTGCGAGAAGCTCGCGTGTGCTTCACTCTCGTCATGGGATTCAGTGGAAGAAGAAAACTAAACCGAATTTTTCGAATTGGTTTTCTTCAGTTTCGCCTTCAAAAACGATGCAGTTTGCCTCCATTTTCATTTTTTTCCCAAAATACCCCTACGTACTTCGTTTTAAAAATGTTTTATTTTAGTTTAATTTTAAAAAAAATTATTGAACGTTCTGGCGGTTTAAAACCGCCAAAAAGTGGCAACACTTGTAACAATTACCATTCCTGCAGTTTAAAACCGCTAGAAAGTGTCAATAATTTGTAGCACTTGCCATCCTTACCACAAATGTAACATTTTTTGGCGGTTTATGGAAACCGCAAAAAAAAAACCGCCAGTAATTACCTATTTTTTTGTAGTGTATTACCGAAAGGTTCTTAAACCTTCAGGAGTTTTAGAAAGAGAGTCAAGAGTGGTATTGAACTGAAAGTGAAACTTCAATAGGCAATATATATAGCAAGCAGCATATGTATTACCTTTATTATATTTTTATGTGTGTTTTGTAGTATAACATCTTCCAAGCTTCTCCAATGTCACTTATTGTATCAAACAAACTTGTCCTAATGCTTGATATAGTTCTTTTATCTTTTATTTTTATCGTGGAAAGGCATCCTATGATGGATGAATGAAAAGATGCTAAAGTCGCCAATGAGCCATCACGTATGAACCCTGATCTCCTTAGGGAAATTTTTTGATTCCTTTGGACACATTCTGTAGAAACAGAGAGACGTGGAAGTTTGTGATGCACATTTAATATATTTTTTTATTATCAGTATTTTTAACATTTATTTATTTTTACCAATCCTATACCAATTATTTAGTTTCCCCGATTTCCGACCCGTCATTTTTAGAATTATTTTGACCAGGTGAAATGCTGTAAAAGGGTCGTCAGTTTGCATATGCAAGCTGGTCGATCGTCGTTTTTTACCTTTTAACAAAATAAATTACAACATTTTGGATTCCCTATAGATGGATACATCAAGAGAACTAGCCAAATACCCAGAAATAGGTATGTGAATGACGAATCAAAAGATTGTACTTATTCACTTTTAACTGATGAAAAATTTTGCTGTAACTTTCCTCACAATCCCTTCAAAGCTAAATCAACTTGCCAAGTCTTTCACTAAAAAAAAAAATTGTATATACAATAACAACATCCTAATGCGAAGTATTTATAAGTTGTTTAATAATAAAATATTATTTTGGTATATCATATGTGAATTTGAGGTTTTTAAAGATTAAAAAAATTCTTATGTGAGTAATTTATCTCTTATGGATTGCTTAATATTTGTGTAGGTGTATTTAGAATACAAAATGAGATATTGAAGAGAGAAAAAAATACACTCCCTGATTTTTTTTATTACAAACAAGTTATAATGTAAAGGACAAAATTTATAATATTATATTTTTTAAGTGTGGTTAGTGTTATTTTTTAACATTAAAATTGTAAAATTATTTCAATAACATGTATTTGCATTTAATATAGATCTCATTAATACACATTTATGAATTAATATAACGAAGTAAAATTTTAATTTTGATTAAAAATAATACCAACCACATTTAACTATCCTACAAATACACTACCACTTTATATATATATATATATATATATATATAT